GGGTCGTAAAAACAGGTTTCTCACTTCAGGTTAGCAGATTCGGGTAAGCGAACAGATACAAAAATCGACTTCTCTCTCACTGATTCTTCTGAAAAAACTAGTTTAAATCACGACAAGCTAACACTTTAAATCATCGTGAGGAATTAATGTCAATCACGAGTTGTGTTAATTAAATTATATCTGTCATCATAGGCGACGCCTATTTACTAAACGAAACAGTCAGCAACGACGGATACTCCCCGTTTCACATGAAAATCACCACCCAAAATCCTCTGCTCACCCCTTACCCGATCCCCGGGCGACAAATAACTTTTTCTGTGTCACCAATTTTTTTAATCAAGGGAAAGGGCAGAATGTACGTGGAAGGCAGAAAGAGAAGTCACTTTGAAGGAGAAAAAGTAAATAATTCAGGGCTTTCCACAAGTTTCCACCCCGAGGGACTGAGAAACCTTTGTGACTAGAAATACGTTCTGACAAAGTTTCTAAAATCGAAATGGGTATTTTTAACATAAATTCTTGAGACTGACGTGATTGATAATTTGAAGGCCACTTAGGAGCAATTGAAAAATCTGCAGCACTTGCAGTAGTTATTAATTCTCAAATGTGAATCTGGCTAGTTTTTAATCTTAAGGACCAAATTATTTTTTGTTTTTTTTTTTCTCGTTAATTAATTGCAAAATATCTTGAAGAAGGCGTTCTCAAGAAACTTTAGACCCCTCCCACTCCCCCACATACTGTTTCTTATCAACCCCCAGCTGATTGGGTTAACACGTCACGTGATAACACCTATTTGCCAAGCGCGGGAAACATCGAACGCGGGTGACACAAGTGAACCTTTGTGAGCTTTGCAAGTGGACATAGACGTGGACAACAGATCTCACATATTCAGATTTTGCTGATTTTTAAAGTCCTTTATGAGATTATTGCACCTTGAATTGGACGATGAGGAGCATAAAACCGTTGGAAAGGAAAAATTCAGGATGTAAAGTTTATTTGTTTGGTCCGAAGCTGGGAACTCATGTGAATTAGGAGCTTCGCTTCGAAAGGGTATGTTTAAGTTAAGTATGGTAGGTACTTTCTCCTTGATATCTTACCTTTAATTTGTTGAGAATGCTACAAATTCAAAGACAAATTTTAAGAAGTTCCCCGTTTATTTACAAAGGCAACAGAAAAATGTTAGAAACAATGCCTTTACCTCTTAATTCATCCACAGGAAAATCTAACAGAAATAGAAAAATATCCAATACTTACAGCTGAAAGTAAATATCTCCTCTTGTTTCACATTGCTTTGAATGCACATCACATGTTTAATTCTTCCCGCTTGCCATGAAAGATCTATGCAGTCTGATGTAATTTTTACCTTTATTACATCCATTTTGAAATCGCTGGTGGTCTGTAATCTGATTGGCTCTAATTGGTGCGATTTATTCACGAATCGCACCATTTTTTGCTCTAAATCGTATCATTTTTATGCTTGACTGAGTTTTTGACACATGACGTCAAAGTCTTGCTGTTTTGCATACAAAATAAGATGTAAAAGCGTTTCCGGTTCCGCTTTCTATTTAAAAACTGGCTCAGCACTGCATCAGTAAAATATTTGAATTGACTAAGTCCTGCATTTGGGCGATTTCAAAATGGATGTAATAAAGTGGTAATTGAACCTCGTGTCGTGCAATTTTGGTCTGAAATCATACTTGTGATTTCAAATCGAACTTGCGCTGTGCGCTCGTTCGATTTTGAAATCACATGTATGATTTCAGCCCAAATTGCACTCCACTCAGTTCAATTACCATTATTTATTACATCCATTTTGAAATCACTGGTGGTCCCTGTAATCTGATTGGCTCTAACTGGTGCGATTTATTCATGAATCGCACCATTTTTTTCTCTAAATCGCATCATTTTATGATTGACTGAGATTTTGACACATGACATCAAAGTCTTTCTGTTTTGCATACAAAATAAGATGTAAAAGCATTTCTGGTTCCACCTTTTACTTAAAAACTGGCTCAGTACTGCATCAGTAAAATATTTGAGTTGACCAAGTCCTGTATTTGGGCAATTTCAAAATGAATGTAATAAAGTGGTAATTGAGCCTCATGTCGTGCAATTTTGGTCTGAAACATACTTGTGATTTCAAATCAAACTCGCACTGCGTGCTCGTTTGATTTTGAAGTCATCCATATGACTTCAGCCCAAATTGCACTCCACCCAGTTCAATTACCATTATAAATCTGGGTAAAACTATGGAAAATTCCCTTTTACCACCTGTAAAGAGGAAACACTTTGAAATCTATATAGGATTTTTTTCTGAATTTCTCTCACAAATGCTTGAG